GCTCCACAGGTTACATATCACCACGAATGTCTTAGTTCGAGCAATAATTCTAGGGACATCAGTCACTGCTAACACTAAATTCGGGATAACGGGATAGTTAATGACAATCAGCATGGGTTCAGGAAAGACCGTTCCTGCCTAACTAACTTGCTAACTTTTTATGAGGGGGTAAGTAGAGATATGGACGGAGGTAAGCCGGTAGATGTGGTATATCTGGATTTCTCAAAGGCTTTTGATACGGTACCACACAAACGCTTGCTACACAAGCTGAGAGCTATGGGCATAGATGAGGTGGTGTGTACGTGGATAGAGAACTGGCTACGGGAACGGGTCCAGAGGGTATCTGTAAATGGCACCTTTTCAGACTGGGCTAGTGTAATGAGCGGGGTGCCTCAGGGTTCTGTGCTGGGTCCCATATTGTTCAACTTATTTATTAATGACATCGGGGAGGGTGTTAACAGCGATATTTCCGTGTTTGCGGATGACACCAAAATAGGGAGGGTAATAGACACGGACTTAGACACTATAACATTACAGGAGGACCTGGATAAAATAGGGGAGTGGGCATTAATGTGGCAGATGAGGTTTAATGTCGATAAATGCAAAGTAATGCACTTTGGAATTAAAAATAAACAAATGGGTTATACAATTATGGGTATGCCGCTGGGGAAGTCAGAAATGGAGAAGGATTTGGGGGTCATTGTAGACCACAAACTGAAAGGTAGTTTGCAGTGCCAGGCTGCTGTAAACAAAGCTAGCAGGGTCTTGTCCTGTATTAAAAAGGGGATGTATTGCAGGGACAAGTCTATAATTTTGCCACTTTATAGATCATTGGTTCGACCTCATCTGGAGTATGTGGTCCAGTTCTGGTCACCAGTACTAAGAAAAGATGTCCTTGAGTTGGAAAAAGTCCAGCGAAGGGCAACCAAACTAATTAGGGGTATGGAGGACCAGAGCTACGAGACAAGGCTACTAAATTTAAACATGTTCACATTGGAGGTGAGGAGATTAAGGGGGGATATGATCTCCATGTACAAAATGTTCAATGGTGGTAGCAACATTAGCGATAAACTGTTTAAAATTAACTCCATTACAAAAACTAGAGGCCACAACCTAAAATTGGTGGGAAAAAAATTCCAGCACAAGGGGCGAAGGGGGTTCTTCACAGTAAGATCAGTTAGGGTCTGGAACTCACTGCCACAGGCGGTGATTTCAGCAAATAATGTGGAATTGTTCAAGAAACTTTTGGACGATTTCTTAAGGGACTGTAATATACAGGGGTACAGGTACTCCTATAATGAGATCCTAATAGGTTGGACTTGATGGACTAATGTCTTTATTCAACCTCAAATACTATGTAAATTGAGTGGTAAAAGCTTTTGGTATTTTTTTGTGGTTTCATGGGCACACACAATTTTTAAGACATGTTTGGTATCTATTTACCTGACTTGACTTAAGAAATGTAGCAGAATACCTTTTGGCCTAAATGTATAAAGAAAGCTTATTTATTTACGTTTCATAACAACATAGGGAAAACAGTTTTTTTTTCAACATTTTTGGTACTTTTTTTCTTTATATAGTAAAAAAATAAAAACCCCAGTGGTGATTAAATACCACCAAAAGAAAGCTCTCTCTGTGACCTCTAAAATACACTATATTGCCAAAAGTATTGGGACACCCCACCTAATCATTGTATTCAGGTGTTCAGTGAAATGTTCTTGCTGTTAAATATTCCACGGTCAACTCTTAGTGGTATTATAACAAAGTGGAAACAACTGGGAACAACAGCAACTCAGCCACGAAGTGGTTGGTCAACAGTGGTTGGTCAACATAAAATGACAGAGCGGCATCAGTGCATGCTGAAGCACACCAGAGTCAATAGCTACAGACGTCCAAACTTTGTGTGGCCTTCAGAATGGCACAACAACTGTGCGTAGAGAGCTTCATGGAATGGGTTTCCATGGCCGAGCAGCTGCATCCAAGCCTTACATCACCAAGTGCAATGCATAGTGTCGGATACAGTGGTGTAAAGCACGCCGCCACTGGACTCTAAAAAGAGTGGACACGTGTTCTCTGGAGTGACGAATCACCCTTCTCTGTCTGGCAAGCCGATGGACGTTTTGGGGTTTGGCGGTTGCGAGGAGAACGTTACTTGCCTGACTGCATTGTGCCAAGTGTAAAGTTTGGTAGAAGAGGGATTATGGTGTGGGGTTGTTTCTCAGGGGTTGGGCTTGGTACCTTAGTTCCAGTGAAGGGAAGGACTTAAGGCATCAGCATACCAAGACATTTTGGACAATTTCATGCTCCCAACTTTCTGAGAACAGTTTGGGGATGGCCCCTTCCTGTTCCAACATGGCTGTGCACCAGTGCACAAAGCAAGGTCCATAAAGACATTGATGAGCAAAATTGGGGTGGAGAAACTTGACTGGCCTGCACAGAGTCCTGACCTCAACCCGATAGAAGACCTTTGCCATGAATAAGAGTGGAGACTGCGAGCCAGGCCTTGTCATCCAACATCAGTACCTAACCCCACAAATGCACTTCTGGAAGAATGGTCAAACCTTCCCATAGACACACTCCTAAATCTTGTGGACAGCCTTCTCAGAAGAGTTGAAGCTGTTATAGCGGCAAAGGGTGGGCCAACTTAATATTGAACCCTAAGGACTAATACTGGGATGCCATTAAAGTTCACGAGCGTGTAAAGGCAGGCGACACAATACTTTTTGTAATATAGTGTATATAAAATTAATTTTGGTATGGCGTTTCATGACTAAATAAATGTCTGGCAAAGTACCTCAGCGCTGAATACTGAAAAATGGCCTGGACAGGAAAGGGGGTTGAACACCCTGGCCTTCAAGTGGTTAAAGCTGATGTCCAAGAACAATGGACTTAGGTATTGCATCAAAAATATGAATACTGTGTGGTAATGGCTGCTACTTAGTATAAAAATGATACCTTGCTACAAGCCGGATCCTACACATAGCGCTGGATTTCTGGGTTCTGGTTTTAAAGTAAATTGTTTATACAGTTTAGACTTCCATTTTGTGCTGACCAGATGGTAAATGTGCTGTGGATAGTGGATTTATAAGGGTTCGATGTTTTGCCCTGCCACAAAAGGTTTAGTGTAATAAATAAAAATGTTTTATAGAGGTATATACATCAGACTTAAAAGGCACAAGCACAGTATGGCCCAAGACCCGCACTGCAGCACCCCACAATCCACATGCCGTGTGCATGTTTGGGTTCTCTTCCATATACAGTAGAGGGGTGGATGACACTGGTAGTAGTTTACACTTATACTGGATGCAATCATCAGGGATCCCAACCTGAAAAAAGTAATTTCAGGGAGGTGCCCTTCTCATTTCAGGGATGTGTCGTCTGCCCCCCTGAAATTATGGTAGATAGCAAAGAAGCTAATGCTTCCCGTGCTATCTGCTGTGTTTTTTTTCTGATTGACAGCAGCAGAGGATGGGTGCAATAGGCAGCTTGCTATTGGCTATTGCAAATCCAAATAGCCAATATCTTTCTAGCTATTCATTTCTATGCCGTCTTTTTTTTTTTTTTACTCTGACGGTGGCTCCGATTTTAGAGTAAAATAAAAACAAAAACAGATATCAGGGATAGGTTTACTCTGCTAGATCGAGCAGAGTAAACCTTTCCGGGAGAAATCTAATAGCGGGAGACTACCAGAACGTCCGGGAGAGTTGGGATGTCTGAATCATTGTGTGAGAGGAAAGCGTGAGTGGCTGATAACTGCAGTCACTGTTTACATTGTGTGATGCGGTGATTGGACATAGTGAGCATGTGGTACCGAGGACTCTTATTGTGATCTGCACTGTCCAGTAAACGGTTAGATCATAGTACTGTGTTTGTGAATGTGCTAGAGCAGGGATGGACAACTCCGGCCCTCCAGGTGTGTTTTAACTACAAATCCCAACAAGCCTTTGCCTCTGAGTGTCATGCCTGTAACTGTCAGTCTTGCAATGCCTCATAGGACTTGTGGTTCCACTACAGGTGGAGGGCCGGAGTTGCCCACCCCCAGGGTTCCCAACCTGAAAAAAGCAATTTCAGGAAGGTGCCCTTGTCATTTCAGGGAGGTGCCCTCTCCCCTGAAATGATAAGGGGAAGAGAGCACCGCCTGAAATGATGGCAGATAGCAGAGGAAGCAATAGCTTCTTTGCTATCTGCAGGTTTTTTTTTTAAATTCTGACAGATGCTGCCGTCAGAATAAAAAAAAAAAACAGCATAGGAATGCATAGCTAGATTCCTATTGGCTATTTACATTTGCAATATCCAATAGTAAGCTGGCTATTGCACTCACTCTCTGCTGCTGTGAATCACAAGAAGAGGACCTGATGTAGAGTTTCAGGTCCCCCTCTGCTGATTGGCAGCAGCAGTGGGCGGGTACAATAGATAGTTTGCTATTGGCTATTGCAAAGTGAAATAGCCAATATGAATCTAGCTGTGCATTCCTATGCTGGTTTTTTATTTTTTTTTTCTGACTGACGGCGGCCGGCGCTCCGATGTCAGAAAAAAACAGAGCAGGGAAAGGTTTACTTCTGCTAATCGAGAGGTGAGCATGCACCTCTTGTTATAGGATGAAAATGCCCTGTTCCCAGACATCCCAACTCTCCCGCTTTTGGATAGCGATTCCTGTCAGTGTCACCCTGTCACATGCTCTCCAGTTGGGTATTACAGGAGGCTGAATGCTTTGCTGTTGTCACTATAGGAACACTCGCCCTGACAAATAGCATGCAAAGGCTGCTGCAGTGCATGTATACAGGAAGTGCCTGCAAAGAGGCTGCAGAAGACCAGCAGTACTGAAATACAACAAAGGATAGAAAGCAGGGTAATACAAGTATTTGATTACAAATAATAATGACAGCTGTTCATGATGCTGTGCTTTGGCAAACTATTATGTCAGTTTACTCCAAGTATTAGATGTCGAGAAGATAACAAGGTGTGTCAGCAGCAGAGTGGCGCAAGGCATGCTGGGAACAGGCCGGTGTTTCCGGGTTTCAGCACTTAGTCACAGGGCAGCGCTTAGATATGGTTGTTCTGAAGGGCATTCCCTCTGTTTTGTCACCGGAGCTGCTCTATACACTGGCTCGCATGGGACACGGGGATGAAATCGGTGAGCCTCCCAAGCGAAAGTCAATTTTCTTTTCGTTAACTTCTGAACGTGATAAGACAAACTGCAGTTCCAGCAGTGACCAGCAGAGGGAGCTTTAGGCTTAAAGCTTCTATGATTTAGAAAAAAACCCGATACACTAGGGCTGACCCCCAGACAGACTAAGTCTAAGTAGAAATGTTCACTGTGCATCATTGAGGGTTGAAAAGTGTGTCCCTGTGAATGTTTATTTTTGGTTTCAAGGACTGAATGCATAAAATAAATCATTTAAAAGCTGTAAGTAAGGGAAATGTAACATGCTTCCTGTCCTTGGATTACAAAGCTCACTGGGGGGAATTTAATAAACCCTTAAAGTGACACTAAACTCAGAAGTTAAATCTAAAAAATGCATTTAAGGACGTTACCTATTAACAAAAATGTAACTTGTATGCACTCTGTAGGCTGTAGATCCTAAAATCATCTCTGAAGTGGTGCTGACACTGTCCTTCCTTCTGGAGGGTGGCTACTTTTGTTCCCCATGGTCCCTGTGTGTTATAAAGAAGCCACTACTCCAAGCTCACTCCTGTGATAGACTACAATCTCATGTTTAGTTTACTAATACAACCGAGTGATACACAAATAAGCTACATTGTTGTTAATAGGGTACTTGAATGCATTTTTAAAATGTCACTTTAAGGACACTTTTCTGGAGGTTTGGACCTTTAAAAGGTCCTGCGCCAAATTAAAAAAAAGCCCTGTTGCCAGTTTTGATAGCTTTACTGACACTTGAGACAGATTCAAATAGTTTTTCAAATAGTTTTTAATACCAGTTTATACCAGAATATGTTTCTATGGCTGCAACAGATTCAAAAATAATTAGACAGTTTAAAGATTATAAAATTGGCAGTAATTAAGACCAACTGATCTGGCATACAGAGAGGCACCATTACACAGCGTGGGGCAGGTATGTGCTCGAAGTTGTCATGAACCTCTCAGATAGCAAGCAATTGAGCTGCAAGTTTGAAAATGACTTGTTAAAATATTGCAGACTTGCCAAGCTTCACAATTTTGTTGCACAATTACAGCAAGTCTGCATTGCAAGTCTCCAGATAAACATGCTTATCAAAAGTGTTGTACACTTGCAGAGCTCTTGCTAAGACCTGCAGGACTCTTGCTGTAGACTTGCCAAGCAAATTTGCTACAAATTCAAAAAGTGTCAACTAGAACTTGTGCTGCATGTGTTCTGCAAGTCTATTACTTGCCAGGAATGTGTGCAGCAAGTTAACAAGAATTACAATTGAACCCTGCCACAAGTTTGCCACTTTTTCACACAGGGCCATGTGGGTTTGGATTTTGTTTTCCCTTAATAATAAAAACATTCCTTTTAAGGCCCGGTTCACACCTGGGCGTTTTGTAGCGCGTTTCCTATGGGTATGGTTCACACCTGGGCGCATTACAGGCCGTATGAACACGCTACAAAACGTCCTACGCCCAAAGAAGTACAGGAGCTTCTTTGGGGCGTTTTTGTCGCGCGTTTCCATTAGGATACAGCCAAGTAGCCCTCGGAAATGTGCGTTTGTCGCACAATTTACCGCGAATCGCGGTAAAAACGCACGACAAACGCGCATATTCGATACGCCTAGGTGTGAACCCAGCCTAAAAACTGCATGTTGTCTTTACTTGTGTTATCATTGACTAATATTTAAATTCTGAAACATTAAAGTGTGACAAACGTGCAAAACAATGAAAAATCAGGAAGCGAGCCAACAATTTTTCACACAACTGTATATATACATATACAGTATATACACACACAAGCAGAATACTAGATGTTTGACACCAAGTATTTTCCTGTGATTATTATTATTTCATTCTCAGTTCTTGCAGATGCAAATTTCCCAGTGTCCTCAATAAGCCGTTCTGGGCCAGAACTTATTCGAGCAGATGGTAAGTTTTATGTTTATCAATTTCTTTGTTATTTATAATTTATTACACACATCTGTTTGAATTTAAACTCAACGTGCATAGTGCTATTATCTTGTTGCTTTCTGTAAGGTTAGGTGCTATTTTCTTGAATGTGTGTCAGATTATTTAAGAGCAAAGCTACTGGCTAAACAAGATAAAAGCTCGATTCCCCAGTCGACTGTTTTTATTTATTTTTTTCCTTTTCAAATCCCTCCTCCAGGCTGTTTTATTCCTACAATGGCTGATTTAACACTAGAATATTCGGAATACCAGAACAGTAACTGTTCAGCTGACTTTATTTAAAAAATAGATTTTTGGTGAATGAAGGGGTGCTGACAGGGCCACACACTGATTGAATTCACCTGCTGACTCGACTGGAATTCGACTAGTGTATGGCGCATCTGACGCGTATTTACGTTTATATGTGCGTAAACGTGGGGGACTTAAACATTTTTGAGGTTTTCTTTAAAAACTTTTTTATGTGACTTTTATTATTTTTTTTATTTTTTTTACACTTAACGTTATTGCTATCACATAGGGGGATAACAATCCCCCTATATAATAGCAAAGGCACACTGACAGGTCCTCTTTATGGAGACATTAGGGGTCTCTAAGACCCCTAATGTCACCTTGGGACTCCCAAAGAATCTGATGAAGCAGAGATCTGCTACATCAGCTTCTTCTCTCTGGCTTTAGCAGCCAGAGGACTGAGAGGTGAATGCGTAAGTGATCTTCCTCCCATCTTCCTCCTGACACCCTCCCGAGCCGTTAAGAAAACGTGTACAGAATGAGTTTATATATGTGAAATAGGCCAGTTGTAACTACTTTTTTTCACATGTATTATGCAGTTTACAAACCTGATCCTAATATATTTTCTAGGTTTAGGAATTCCTAGACTTTTGGAGGCCATTTTGCAGCTTTTCCCAATGGATACCTATGTTCCTGAACCTGTAAGTGGTAATCTGTTTGCACTGGATGTCCATAACCTTTCAGCTAGCTTTAGAAATAACATGAGCTGGTCCATCCACATTTCAGCTCAGTTTAGCCGGTGTTATAGCAATAGGTGCGGCAGAGTTAGCAATGAAACAATTGCTATTTGTGCCTGGGCAATGGAGGGTCAGCTCTTGATTCATGGATGCTTGGGGTCTGTTGATATTAATGTTGTACTGAAATTTGTATGTCACTCTTGGGATGCTGTATGCCAGCCATTTTCCACAATAATTTTAAGGGATTGGACAGCCAACTGGAAAAAGTGGGAATCTTTAACCCCTTCATGGCTGAGCTTGTTTTTGGTTTCTGTTCGTAAATGACTGACACACTTTTGACATTTTTGCTGTGTGATTCTTCCACGTCAGTAATATACTTTCTTACAAAGTGCACCCACACATATTATATATTGTTTTTTAGAGGACAGATAGGGCTATATATTTACATCACATATGTGTGTCTAACGCCTCACTTAGGACAAATACAAAATTAAAAAAAGAGGAATAAACGTTAAAAAAAACTTTTTTTCCCAGTTTTGATTTGTAGTATTTTTTTTTAACAAAACCAGCACAGCTAAAAAAAAATGCAATACATACATTCATTTATTTGTCCCTTATTTTTAATTTTTTTACACTTTTCACTATTTTTTTAAATTTATTTACACTTTTCACTTTTTTTATACTGACAAATTTTATTTATTTAATTATATCAGGCAGTCATTGTGAATTAATCTCACTATTACTGCTTGATAAATTAATACATTTTTTTTTATTATCAGGCTGCTTCAAACTTCAGAACAGCCGATAATAAGTTAGTGACACTGATCCTGCAGCAGTTCAGGATTCAGCTGTCAGTGAATGTTTCAGAAAACTTAAACATTCTACTTTCAAGAATAGATACATTATGTGTCTAATACATAACATTTTGTATCTATTCTTGAAAGTCAAAAGATAAAAAAAAGCCAGTATAGCTTGAGAGAGATATCTCTCGATCTATACGAGCTGTCAGAATGCCGGCAAAAGCCGACATGTGTGTCTGCTTTGCTGTGACTCTCAGACACCCGATATTAAGGTATCGGGTGTCTGAAAAAGGTTAACCCTTTCAGTAATGGATCTCTAGATAGTTAGACATCTATTACTGAAAGGTAACCGCTGATTCTCAGCGGTTAGCAGCCTTCTAGTGCAGCAAATAACTCGTCACGTACAGTGTACGTGACGAGTCATTTGGTCCCTTTGTGGCTGGACGTACAGTGTACGTCTCCCGTCACGAAGGGGTTAAATATTATATTAAAAGTGCAAACTTTTTAATATAGGGTGCAGAATGTTTATTTGTATTAAAAAGAAATCACACAAACCTGTGGATCGACAATAAAGTAGAGACTGCATTACCGGTATGCTCACCTCTCCAAGGTTCTAAAACATTTTGAAAGTCTTTTTTAAAAAGTGGCTTATTTCAGTATAGCAAAAATGGTTGGAAACAGTTAGCAATAGGCAAGTGTAAATTTGTCAAACTGATACACTGCCTGGCCAAAAAAAAGTCACACACTGTAATATTTAGTTGGACCACCTTTACTTTGATTACAGCACACATTCACTGCGGCATTGTTTCAAAATGCTTATGCAATGTCACAACATTTATTTCCGTCCAGAGTCGCATACATTTTTCTCTAAGATCTTGTAGTGATGGTGTGACAGTCGGACCACTGCATAAGTCTTCTCCAGCACAGCCCCCAACCTCAGTGGGGTTAAGGTCTGGACTTGGGGGGGCTAATCCATGTGTGAAAATTATGCCTCATGCTCCCTCAACCACACAATCACAATTTGAGACTGATAAATACTGGCATTGTTATCTTGGAATATACCCGTGCCTTCAGGGAAGAACAAAATCCATTGATGGGAAAAACTTGGTCATTCAGTATATTCAACTAGGCTGCTGACCTCATTTTTTTGGGGACATAACGTTGTTGAACCTAGACCTGATGTAATATCTAAGTTGCCTTGGCTTCCTGAAATAAGCTAACTTGCTATTCTCTGCTTCAAATGATGGTAACGATACAATGGTTAAAAGAAGCAATGGTCTTATTTATTTATACACAAATATAGCTAAACATAATAAAAGATACAAAAGTACAATAAGACAATCAAAAGAATACTTTACGCAGCAAGTATATCCTCTTGTTTCTATGTCTTGGCTGGGCTCAGAGAGAGAGCAATATAGCTGAGTACGGACTTTTATAGTAAACCGGACCCATTCATACACCTACATCGACACCCCTTTACCCATAATTCTGCATGTCCCTTTATAGGTCTTTTGGCCAATCGGCATCGTCCTTCATATTTGTCCACATGCACTGTAGTCCTCCAGCAGGGGGCACCATCGTACTGTAGGTCATTCCTCGGCCTAGGTCAACACCTTGTCCTTTGATCTTTAGACAATGGACAGCCACCTTCATATGCAAAGCGGGATATCTTGAGGGTGTCTTCCCAATGCGCATACACCCCTATCAACACCACAGGATGCAATGCATGACCTCCTGTCCAGATGAAGGAATCTCATCTCTATTACCTCCCTTGCCATGCCATTAATGTCTACGTGTGTGAAGATTTCTAAGGAAAGCAGTAAGCCAATCACAGAAGCAGGACAGATTTTTATATATAGATGGTGGACAGATCATGTTGCAAGAAGTAATGTTTGAATTCTTTGGCAGATTTAGAAAATTGAAGTGACTGCAGATTAGAATGCAGATTAAAATGTAAAGGTAATTTAATAGTGTTAAATTACAAAATGGCTTATGTTTTTGGTAACGTTTAAAAAACCTCCTGAACGAACCTCGAAAGGTAACCTCTGAAGGTATATTCCAGGCTGTATTTACAATGAATCCTTGAGATGCAAGGATCTCCTTCAGCTGCACATTTCTGCCAGGAGTACAGCCTCCTAATCAAAGGGTCCTATTTCTCATCAGACCCTATAGTGTATCAGTCCACACCAGTTGGCATTTTATGAGAATGCATGCTTTTAATGCAAGGTATTATTATTATTATTATTAGTATTAGTATTATTATTCAGGATTTATAAAGCACCAACAGTTTGCTGAGTGCTTTACAATATAAAACACCATAGTATCAATACACTGTGAAGAAAACATAGGAAACCGGTGCACCGATTTAAGTGCAGTATAAAGTGACTATTTAATAAGGTTAAAAGTAATGCACTTACAGGATAAAAAAAACATCTCGCCTGTCAAGCATCAGATAAAGGTCCCATCTCAGCTGCTGGTCCGAGATTGCTATCAGGATAGGGAGAAAGCAGAGTCCAGTTCAGTCCAGAAAGATCCAAGGACGCCTGTGCTGGAAGACACGGGTCTGATCCAGTGGCTGAGCACTGCTGTGGCTGGTTCTCCTCAAAGCAGGGTCACAGCTGCGGAGTACTTCCGGGTCGTCAGGTGTTGCTAGGCAACGCGTTTCAGAGGTTCACCTCCTTTGTCAAGCCTAAGGGTGGAGTGGGCAGAGTCCTTTATATAGGGAGAAGCATTGAGCGCTTTGGCGCCAACTAGTGGGAGGAAACCACTAGTGGTAAATTGCTGCCAGGAATGCATCATAAAAGTGGTCGGCAACAAAAACATAATAGTAATAATAATAAAAGATATTAAAAATGATCGTGATAAAATAACAATACAACTATAACATTTTAAGATTGTAAAAGACCTACATGGAGCAAGAAAAAAATTAGTCAATCGTTGGTGAAATATTAGAAAGGGGCCGAATGCATGTACAGTACGCATGGATGTAGATGCATGGTATGCATGTACACTGCGCAAAAGGTGCAAAAGAATCCTTTTAGATTTGGGGAAAAGATATATGTTTAGATTTGGGGGACTTATTGAGGGGATATTTATTAGGAATGTAGGCCACATTTATGTGCAGTACGCATAGATGTAAACGCATGAACAGGTGTGAACACCATGTGAGAGAGCGAAAGGTGTATTCTTCGCATTTGAGGAAAAGATAAGGGGGACATAATGCATGAATCTTTATTGCATGTATGCAAGTTAATAGCAATATGGAGGGCAACATGCGCGTGCAACGCACTTGGATGCAAGTGCATATGTATGTATGTGCATCGCACAAAAGTGCATGATCATAGGATTGTACTGACGTCTAGTTCCTCATTTAATCCATTAGGGTTTAGTGTATTTAGTGTATAGATCCAGTATGTTTCCTGGTTACACAGTTTGCAAAATCTTTCAGCAGGGGACATACTGCTAGGGATGTGTTCAATTGCAAATACTGCTAGGCCCACTGTAGATTTATTATGTTTGGTGGCAAAGTGTCTTGGTACACTGTGGTCCTTGGAGCCCTGTTCTATATATCGTGGATGTTGTCCAAAACAGCGATGTGTCTTGGTGGTGTCTTGGGATATTCTTTCCCTAAACTGTCCCAGAAGGAAGATTGCCCATGTGTGATAAATGCACATGTTTTGCACCTCAATTTTTTACACTGGAAGATGCCTTTCAGATCTCCATAAAAAGACAGGAGGGGTATGTGGTCCTTATCTACTTTAATCTTGCTAGGGGCAATTTTTTTCCCTATGTTCGGGGCTTTTCTAAAGATGACCTCAGGGTTCTTAGGGAGTTCCGGACCTAGCACAGGATCCTGTTGCAGGATATGCCTATTCTTTTAAAGAAAACAGAAAGAACATAAACAGCGCTCTCGGATGGGGAAGGCTAACTGACAAACATGTGTGCAGCCCTGGAAACAGGAGGAGAACCTGTGGATGCAGATCAACAAAGGAACACGAAGGGCGCAACAGCAAATACAACAATGGAGAACTAGCTAGTTGGACTGAACTATATATAACAGGGAATCAATGTAATGGTAAAGAATCGATGGCAAAGAATCAATGTGATAGCACTTACATGTTAGTCCAGGGATCAGGAGATGGACGGCCTGTGCGGAGGATCGGG